TACAGAAAATTATTAACATTTTGCACGCCCACTCTGTGGATTTATTTGTCCGCTCTTAGTAACAAATCTGGCTACGGTCCTGTACAGAACTAATCAAAGGACGCATCGGCACGAATTAAGTTCTAACCTCATTTTGTTCCATTTGATCCTAGATGTATAAATTTGTTGGGATTGATTTGTATTACAGTTGGAATTACTGTTGCGTATAGAGACATTGTGTAACGGAAGCTTGTTAAATTTTTCAAGTTTTGTGGATTACAAAATTATATTCGGGAAGAAGTGCGTATCGATGATTCAGATTTTTGGGAAGTTGTAGTTTTCATTAAAATTAACAAACATCTTTTTTCTGATGTAATTAAGTTTCAAATATCGTATAATATAAGATGAGTTATTGGTTTTGAACTTCCTATTTTGGGCGAGTTAACGATTAGTACGTGATTTAAAAAAGGTCACCGGTTAAAAGACGCAATAGATTCAAAGAACAATATGTAATAAAACAGCGAGACAAAAAAATTATGAGTTTGTTTATTTCCGGAAACTCGATGGGAGCGTTAATTACGGGCGTTGGTTTACTCGCGATATTAAAACCAAAATGAACAGAAATTTGGGGGGCTTTTTGCGTAGATATTCACGCTAAGCGTGGATACCGTCGCGGAAAACGCGGCCACCACTTATAAAGTTTTTTCGTAGATATTCGCACGGGCGAGTGTCGTCGCGGAAAATGCGGCTAAGGGTAAAAAGGTCCAAACCAAATAAAATTTGTTGCGCGTATTAATTTAAAATCGTATTGTTTAACCAGGAATAGTGAATTGTTCGGAAAGTATTAATCATTGAGTAACTGCAGTTTAGTTTAACGTGCGATTGAAAGACTTCCGTTCAGAAATTATATAAAGTACGAAAAGCGCGCTAGGAAATTGTTGTTCAATTGGGATTACGCGATTGGATTTAATAGGCGAAGATTGAGAATAATCTAAATCATCCTCCACTACAATACCCACCATCTAAAAAGGGGAAGAATACTACTGTCTAAATTGTAAGTTATTTTTATGAAAAGTTATTTACCTAGAAAATTTATTTATATTAAATTTTCATTTTGTCATTTTATAATTGTTTTTTGCCGAATGGTTTTATATAGATAGGATAAATATAAGTTAGAAGTTAGAAGAATATTCATTGCTGTAGGAATTTAATTAAGTGTTATATTAAGTAAATTTAAATATTATTCAGATTCAGGATAGATGTAAGTAATTGAGTAATTAAGATATAATATAAAAAAAATCAATTGTGAGTGCAGTGGAATTTGGATTTATTTTATTTTTTTCAATATAATCGGTTTATTTATGTAGATTTATTTTTATCAATCAGAAACGTGAGACGGTAATAGTAGGGCTATTACAATTGGTTAAAAACTAGTCCGAAAAGTTTTGTACAGTTGTCATGGTGACCATTGATAAAATTTACAATGGTGATAACGTGAAATCGTCCATTTATGTACCTAAATCTGCGATAAAATAGCCTCTTATTCAGGTGGTTGGATAAAAAAGATCATAATTTGTGCTTATTTTTAGCCTATCAATTTAGCAATTTCATAAATTTCCCATATACTGATTTTTTGGAGTGACCTAGTATGCGGCCTCAAAAATCCTATAAATCAGCTTAAAACAGGTTAATATTTATTTTAATATAAGATCATATGGTTATCCTTATCAGTTTGATGATTTTTCAGTTAATTTTCTCAAAAGTAATTTATTAGGGGATGGAACTTTTAGTTGAGATAATCCTATTTTTGACGCTGCAGTGGAGAAACAATAAATTTAAATCTCGTCCCAATACGTGAACATTACCGGAAGGTTGAGAAAAGTGATTTGCAATGTAGGTATTTTCAGCAACGCACTAACCAACAAATTGAGGACGATTACGGCTACTAAGCCCATTACTCTCATTATATTGTTGCATAAAAACAAAAATTGCCCATTAGTGCAGGCAACTTAAATATGATGGATGAGGACAGAGTTGTTATCAGGTATAGCACATTGCTTATTATTACCTAAGGGTGATTTATGCCACGATTTCAGACCATTTTATACGCGAGAACATAAAAATTACGTGTAGTAGTTAGTTACCAATCTAATGGCTAAAAATTCTTCCATCTGCAGTTAATGAGTTGTGTGCTTTCCGATCACCTTTGTATTGATTGATCATGAAGTTCTCTCTAAAAGGTTCATTAAGGGAATTATTAGTCTAATTAGAAATTTCCCCGGTGAAATAGTTAGAGTTAATTTGAAACTGCAAACAGTTTCTAAATTACGTTATAGTTTTGTAATATCAAACATTTGACGTAATTTAATCGTAATTATTTGTTAGAAAATGTTACCATCTTTACTTTAACTAACTTATGCAGGGTACGTAAGCATATTCCAAGTTTAGAATTTAAACTTTGTGTATTGTGTACCTTAATTTAATTAGCGAAAGCAATATGCCCTTATAAGGTTTAAAAGATTTTGTAGAGTGCTTCCACTATAATTCACAGATACGCCACCTCCATAATATTAAAATTAAAACAAAAGTAATTGCCACAGCTTACTAACAATAAAAGGCACTTAGGTCAATCATACAACACAACTCTCTTGTGTTAATTAACTACGGTACCGTGCCTTCAAACTAAGTTACTGTTAACGTAAATTATGTAATTACCAGATTTCATGAAATGCGGCTAAATAGCCCTTCACACACTTTTTGTGCACCCATTTTCGAATCACTATAAAACACCCTCATACTGTTAGCAAGAGACTCGCGTTACTAAAACATTTATAGAACATAATTCGTTTAACTCCGAGGGCTTCAGTAAGTAACCTCATTGAAATTCATAGCCGTTAACGTTATGACAATCATGGTAAACCTTCACACTTAAATAGATTAAATAATGATAATTGTGCAATGAAATTTTTTGACAACAAGATTTATAAGAAGGGAAGACTTGAATCGGCAAGGAATATTTAATTAAGGGCGGAATGTATAAGTGCAGATATTTCGATCTGCAGTGATACACCTTAACACGTAAGTTTTTGCCGTGCATGCCATAGAAAATGTTGAAGCATATTCTATGCAAGTAGATCATTTACGAAAACATGAAAGTTTCTAATCGGTTACTTACCAAGTTTAGCTATAGTATTGATTATACAATAAATACGGGTATCTGTGACCAGACAAGGTGCTTTAATTTTTATACCTCACACCCCAGTAACAGAAAATGACACAGACAGGAATTTTTTTGACACAAATGAATGTACGTTTTCACCCTTTCATTTTATGTAAAGGAAGATGTGGTATGGCGGAACGAGCCAAAATCTATAGCGCTAACCTAAAGTGCCACGATAATTCCAAAGAATGAACAACACATTTTTTCACCATACAAAAAATCTGACATGGGAAACTTTATCCAGGTCGCACAATGGATTCGAATTAACACAAAATTAGTTGATTGATTTCACTATATATTCTACCTAAAATAAACTTACTACATTTTTAAATAAATGACCAATCACGACAGAACGCACCAAACGTCCCCAATTCTCCAATGTAAAACGCGCATTTCTTCGAAACACCTGGATCTTCGTTATCAGCACCAGATGTGCATTACCTTGAAATGAATTAAGTTTTTTCCTAAATAAAAACCTTTTTATAAAGTACTCAAAGTCTTAGTTAAAGCATCCTATATAAGTTTAACAATTTCCAAAGCGAAAATATTAAAACGAAAAAAAATACGCAGTTATAAAGAATTCTATAAGGCAAAACAAACACTAAAATACAACATCAAATGAAACGAACCAACACTGTGCTTATTCGTAAAAACCGAGTGGAGCGGATTTAGTTAATAAACTGAAATACTCTCATATACAGGATGTCCCGTCCAAATAACTATATAATAATATATCGTAAACTAATGAAACTAACACTTAAAAACAAAAATTGAAGATAAAGGGCACGGTATTATCTTTTTATAGTTGTATGTGCTATAACTAGACTTCAGCTCAGATCACTGCAGGTTAAGTCAAGCAATAATAACATATGCACAGTTATTTTTCGCACTGGCGGGCGTTCAATTTGCTCTTAAAATGTCAGAAAAATGTCATCACAAATAAGAAAGTAGGTTCTGCGCCTTCAGTGTTCAAACTAAGCGGTGCAGAAATAACTCAATGGTACAAACCTACTTTGTAACCCAGAGAGCTACAAGATGTTCCGTTCCAGAAATCTCCATCGATTTATAAAGGTAGCGCTTTGAACCAAATTCGTAAATTATGGACTTCCGCAATGGCGTTCGATGCAGAAATAACGCGATTAGACGAACTTTTTGCCCAAACTCCCAAGAATCTGTGGTACTCGTTGTGAAGGTCCCAATCGATTTATAACAGGAGACATTTAAAGGAAATTCATAAATTATCGACTTCAGGAAAGGCTTAGTTTTCAAACTAAGGGATGCAGAAATAGCACGATAGTACGAATATAATGCTGAAAACCCGAAAGTTCTACGATATTCCGTTGTCTTGATCTCGGTCGATTTATAAAATGCTTCCGAACAGCCGACAGTTAGTGAAACAATAAGGTCATTTTTGAGAATCAAAAATGTGCTCTGTCAAATAACATATGCTTTTATCTAGCTGATACATAATATTGTTGACTAGTATTGCTTTTGCTAGCAATTCCTTTAAAGCGTTAATTGCTGTGCAGTGAATTTTTTTAATCGTTTTTAATGATTGCCCTGTACTGGCTCCTTTATAGCAACAGTACTATTGTGTAATTATCATACAGCTTATTTTATTCATAGAAATCATTTGAAACAAAACTCCTGGGTATCTTTAATACTAATATTCATAATTTAAATAGTAGAAGTAGAATGTTCATCTCAATCCCAATTCATAAAACAACTTTATTTAAATGATCTTTTAGCTATTACGTGCCGAAGATTTGACTCTCTCTGTCATATTCGAATTCGACGTATGAGCTTGACGGAGTAAACACGTTCAGTGCCGCAGCGTTTAAATTTCTCTCATAAAGTGCTTAAATATCTATTAAAAATGCCGGATACGCGTAGTGCTCTTAAGGGTGAGGATAGGGAGGACCAACTGATCCAACGCGTCATTGAAAAAACCTTAAAAAACAAGGATTTAATGCAGGAAATATTATCCTCCGTAACCCAAATTGTTAAACAAGAATTTGAGCAGCAAATCAAGGTGTTAAGTGACAAGGTGATTCAACTGGAACACGCTTTGGAGGTCAAGACTGAAGGGAATGAGCAGTACTCAAGGATTAACAATCTTCGCATATTTGGCGTTCCTGAAAGTGAGGGTGAAAACACCGGCAACGTTATAATCAACCTTTGTAAGCAAAATCTTAAACTTGATCTAAGTGTTGTAGATATTGATTGTGCACATCGATTACCTGGTGTTCCCAATAAACCACGTCCCATTATCGTCAAATTTGTACGAAGATCTACTAAAATACTCGTTTCTAGCAACAAAAAGGAATTAAAAGGCACCCAATATGTCATAAGGGAGGACTTGACCAAGATAAGGCAGCAGTTGTTCAAAGAAATTAAAACCAAGTTTGAGCTAAGCGCCAGAGATATATGGACCAGCAATGGGAAGATATTCGCGAAAATTAACAACAAAGTTGCAAAATTTGTAAATTATAATGATCTGCGTAGTTTGATAGTTTAAAGTAGGTAATTTTTCCTTCTACCATTAGGCATGTTATTGTATGTACATATTTGTTGCTCTATTGATAATAACCGGCCTGCAATGATAACATAGCTGTACCTGTATTGTGAATTGTTTGTGTTGTGGATATGCATAATAATATTTACAAAGTAATCTGAATAATTCCTTATACTTATTGCAATAGTATTTTGTGATCCCACTTCGCTTACCCTTAGTACCTGCTACTGGATTTTTGTCTTATATGTGTCTGTGTACTACTTTTTCTGTGTGATGTAGTCTTTTTTATGATTTAGTTACAACGTTGCGTCATTCAACCGAATTATGTCCGGAATTATATTGGCGCATGTAAATGCACGATCTCTCACCAACAATTTTGTGGATTTTGCCAATCATGTCAAAGGTAATAATTATGATGTAGTAGCAGTTAGTGAAACCTGGTTGCAGAGCAGTATAACCACTGAGATTATTGAAATTGATAATTATATATTTTTAAGGAAGGATCGAGAGAGTAGAGGAGGTGGTGTGGGAATTTATCTCAAAAATCGTTTTAGTTACAGTATTATTAATCTAGAAATGTCCGTTAATTTCGAATGTCTCTGGATCCGTGTACTGGATGGCAGGAAGGTAATATGTGTTATCGGCACCGTCTACAGGCCTCCTCATACCGTCGTTACCAATTTTTTAAACGAATTTGAAGAGATGATGAGTGTAATAGTACCAATGCATAATGTAATTTTTTGCCTTGGAGATTTCAACATAGATATGTTTAAATATGATAGCTATGATACAACATTATACTGTTCTATGTTGGAATCTCTAGGATTTGAGCAAATGGTTAAGGAACCAACCCGTATTTCTGCTAAAGCTTCAACCTTAATTGATCATATTCTTGTGTCTGATTCGTCCAAAGTTTTGTCTTGTGAAACTAAACCTTCGCATAACTTCTCAGATCATGAGTTCATTACATGCTCCATATTGACTGAACTACAATCCATTCTACCCCGTACTATCACATTTCGAGATTACTTTGACATTGATACAAAATTTATTTATTTTGATATTGCTTTAAAAGAGTTTCCATGGGGTGATTTGTACACTCTAACGGACGTCAATGATAAAGTTACGTTCCTAACTCAGAATCTTCTTAATTTATTTGATCAATACTTTCTTCTCAAGACTGTAACATTTAGGAAACCTAAGGCACCGTGGCTTACGGATAACATCAGACTTATGATGCGGTTGCGTGACAAGGCATACATTCGCTATAAATCTTCGAAAAGAGCTTCACATTGGGAGTATTATAAAACAATGAGAAATCTCCTGAATCAAGCCATCAAACACGAAAAAAGGGCATACTTAAATCATGTTTTGAGCAATAATAACAGCACTGCGTTATGGAAGGCTGTTAAAGATCTAGATATTTATAAAAGAAGTAACTCTAGTATACCTCAACATCTCAATAAACCAAATGACCTTAATAACTTTTTCGTCAACTCCATTCCTCAAGCTACACAACCGCTGCACACAACATCATTTACAGAATACTCGGGCGTCCATCCAAAAGTTTCTGACCAACTCAAATTTGTGCCAGTAAATGAAACTGTCGTCCATAAATTTATAAATGAAATAAAATCTAAATCTATAGGAGCAGATGATGTTGGAATTGAAATGATAAAGTTGTGTTGGCCGTTTATAGTCCCTCACGTTACGCATATTATTAACCAATGTATTCTTACTGATACATTCCCTATTCAGTGGAAGGATGCGCATATCCTCCCTCTTCCGAAAAACAAGAATGCTCAGTGTTTTAAAGACTTGAGGCCTATTAGTATTCTTCCGGCTCTTTCCAAAGTACTTGAGAAGGTAATGAAAGCTCAAATGTGTAATCATATCGAGAAATTCCAGTTAATATCACGTTTTCAATCAGGGTTTAGGAAAAATCATAGTTGCGCCACAGCAATTCTTAAATTAACTGATGACATTATTCGAGCAACCGATGACGGCCTGCTTACTGTTCTTGTTATGTTAGACTTTTCAAAGGCATTCGATACGATTGACCACACTCTTTTAGTTACCATTTTGTTCCATCTCGGATTTGATCTTTCCGCATGTCAACTTATTACATCTTATCTGCATGGTAGAAGGCAACGCGTTGTTGTAAACGGTATAAAGTCATTCTGGGCTGACGTTCGCTATGGTGTTCCTCAGGGCTCCATATTGGGCCCATTGTTGTATGTTATTTACTCTACTAATATTTGTCTAGTTCTAGAAAAATGTAAATACCTGTTGTATGCTGATGACACCCAAGTTTATTATTCGTTCCCTCCGGAGCATATTGATTCTGCTACTAAAATAATAAATAATGAACTTAGCAAATTAGCAGCTACCGCTATGAAACATAATTTACATTTAAATGCAGATAAGTCTACTGTGATGTTGTTTGGTCGAAAATTAATGAGAAGCAATGCATTATCCACTGTTAAGGTTAAAATTAATAATTTGGAACTACCTATAAGTTGCGAGGCCAGAAACTTGGGGATGTGCCTGGATACTAACTTGAGGTTCACTGCCCACATTAACGGGTGCGTACGAAAATCCTTTTCTGTATTAAAGCAATTATATCCCAGTAGGCATGTTCTGACAACTGCAACTAAAATACATTTGTGTGATTCCCTCGTGTTATCTCATTTTAACTTTGGAGATGTCGTATATGGAGCGTGTATTGATTCACATACAGCTTCAAGAATACAAAAGGTGCAAAACTCATGTTTACGGTTTATATACGGAATCAGACGCAGTGAACATGTTTCTCCTAAAATTAAGGAAGCTGGTTGGCTTAATATGTCAAAGCGGAGGACATTGCACTCATCAGTTCTTATCATAAAGTCATCACTACTGCGACGCCACCCTACCTGGCTGAACGATTACTGTTCCGCACTAATGTACATAGTTTAAACTTACGTCATAGGGGCTTGTTGACGGTCCCTATACACAAAACAGTTTATTTCCGCAGATCTTTTTCACATAATGCTTGTAAAGTTTATAATTCGTTACCACCGTCCATTAAAACTCTTTCGGTTCATGGCTCCAAAGTGCAAGTAAGATTACTACTGCAGCTGAGTAAGCTACAATAAAGTGCGAGACAGTAGATGAAACTTTTGAGGTTGGAAATAATTTAGTGTTATTAGTGATCGTGCATTTATTTATTAGAATAATTTTTTGAAATGTAATAATACGTTGGATTGGGGCTGTATGGAAGAACAGGGTCTCTCGGCACTGAATGCAGTCCCTTTTCCTGTTTTTATTCGTGTTATTTGTAGAGTTTTGATTTTGTTTTATGGAGAATAAATTATATATTATTAATTTATTATCTAATTATTAAGAGTGTAATGGACAATCGTAATTGGAAAATTTCGGTTAAGTTATGATTATTGGAGGTAATATGCAGAGTTATGCTAATGTCAAATGTATAGTGCAAAATCTGTTTTTGGCACAATATTTTAAAATAGGAATCCGTTCTTCATTCCATTCAACCTCTTTGACGTATCTATCTGCTGCTTATAGTAAATTAAATTTTCCCTTAACCAATACGGGCAAGGTTGAGGAAAGCGATTTAATTTCCGTTCAAGGGTCGTCTCAAAACCGATATCGACCGTAAAAAGTGCGTTAATTCTGCTCCGTTAATTAACGACCGTTAACGTATATAATTTCAATTATACAAAACAAAGTCGTCGAAGAATTCGTAATTCGATCCCCGCAATTCAGGCATGAACACTTGTAACTCGCAACCATTTGAGTGCATTATGAGATTCTTCCTTTTTTTTTTTAATTTTTAATATTTTACCGGCGACTAAACACAATCTATTATGGCTTCTCATTATGCTCGTGCATGCAGTGGAGAGATACAGGGTGTCCGAATGGGGCTACATTGTATTTCTCCCATGATGATGATTTGACATGGCGTCATTGTTACAAACGGTGAGTGTTACAGTTGGCCAAGCATCAAACCGCCGCAAATATCGCGTTGCCCCCAATTTTTTGCGATCTCTCTTTTCGTCGGGAAAGCGCGAGACGTCGAAGAAAACGAACCGCACTTCCCGCGTCGAAACGGCTCTCGTTTCAGGCGTCGGATCGCCCCTAGTTTCTGCAGTAATAATTTGTGCAACTGCACGCATTGTGCAGTCGAATATGAAAAGTAAACAGTGATATGCAGTCGAAGTATGATATCATGTTACTATTGTAAGGGGGATGTAGTTATGGGTGGGCTCTTGTTTGATATACCTGTTAAATTCAGATCGAAATTGAATACACATATTCGGTTTTTTTTGTTTTGGCTTTTGTTTGCTTGATTAGTACACGAACGCGTCAAGAGGGCGGTGAAATTTTCAAATATTTTCCGATTTACCGGTCATTTATGGCACAATAAATAAGAGGGATAAAATAAAACGATGACACCGAATATGTGGTAGTAAAACGAAACTGTAAAACTGAGGTCCAATAATAATTAAACCTGATCGTTAAAACAAACGTCGGCGGATAATCTATAACCCTTAATAAATAAAAACGAGAAATTAAATAAAATGAAATAAAGAAAAGAGGAGATGAGATTTTAACAGTCCGACCGAATCGGCTTAACGTATCTTCCTTGCTCTGACAGATACAAGTTTGTGTTTCTTAAATTCGTGCGCGTATGCTTATTGAGCGGTTTCCAGTTTGGAAAAGCGAGCCTCCATTTACATATTTTAACGTATTTCTGCATGCAATTTTTTCATTAATCTTTCGCGGCGTTACGCCTACGCCCGCGTGTGTAATGCGGCTCTGCGTAAACTTTCCAAGGGTCCCTCGTAGGCGGCCAGTTTTTTGGAAACGCGAGCCGCCTACTGCAGATCTTGACTCCTAATGCTTAAACCCTAATTACAGGTTGTCACTATTTGAAATGCGGTCTGTCCATCTGTCTGCCGTTTAATGCGCTTAAGGATCGCCGGGCGTAAATAATTTTTTCACTTAAATACGTTTGTTGACACTTGCGGAATTCGCCTGGACGCGCGGTGGAAGTATTTCAAAATTGGAAAGCGTATAGGGCGAATCGATCAAAGCCGCAATATGCGAATATTTATCCATATCTTTTGTCGCAACAATTCGTGGTCGGGTCGGTATGCGGTTATTAAAGCTTTTGTTGTTTCACAATCGGTAATTAAGGTGACAACAAGCGCGCATGGACCTACACATTTTTGGCATAAAACGGTAACGTATAACCGCACAATTAACAATTACGAATATGCGCTTTGTTTCCTGCAATAATTTATTATTACACTTGACCCTCAGTATTTTAACCCAAATTCGACAAATACATTCCGCGCATTCATTTCGACGTACGGTAAACTAAGTAAAATTGATAAATTTGAAAAGAAAAACAACTCCATTAACACCACGTAACAAACAACAAACGCTCGCCAAGCGAAATCAAAAAGTAATTTAATTATATTTATCATCTTTTACGGTTCTCTATAAAAACCCTAAGCTCGCAACACATAAAATCGAGTCGAGGAGGGCAATCTAATATAATATGTTTAATTACGACCGAACCTAATAAAAAGTTGTGTGAATCACGGAATCATCAACTGTAATTGCCAGTCTCTTAAATGAGAAACTGGACTCGTAAAAGACCGAAACTAAGAAAGTGTTTATTTTATTCCGGCAATAACACTTGTCCTTCTCGCTTGATCTTAAACTCACATTTAGAAATTACCCTAGTAATTAAACTGCTGTAATTCGCACTTGTATCCAACTCACTTATTCCTGTGCAGATTAAAACCAACAACAATAAACATTAATAAACTGAAACATCAAGTTAGTTCAAGTTAGTTAAATGCAAATCAGATAGAGCCCAGTCAAGTTAAATAAAAATAAAGAAATTTATATAGTTTGGAAATTTGACCAAAAATGTCTTTGGGCCTTCCTCTTGAACATATTCGAAAACTCCTTATGTGGGAGGTGCGCAACAGGCTACCATTTTGGATTTTATGTCACTTTCTTTGGTTTTTCCTCAATATCTCGAAAACTATCAACTTTTTCATAACCACCTGTATATACAAAAGTAAAGATCATCAAATTTCCTACAAAAAACGTAGGTATAACAAGTTTTTTTCTACCTGTAATCCTTTAGGAGATACATAGATGTTTATGCAGAAAAAGTAAACCTTCCGAGGGGAGAAAATCGCTAAAAATTGTTCTTGGTTCTAGTGTTTTCGTCGGTGTCTATTACCTTTATGACTAAGTATTGCCGATAGTATGCTGTGTACGTAGAGGGGTAAAGGGGGAGGAGAAAGAGAAATAAACATACTGAAGTAACAAACATAAAAACTAACCGAAATATATTAAACCCCTAAAGAGCATCTAAAAACAGGAACAGAGAAGCGTGACCCCACGGGGTCATTGGATTTGACCCATTTTCAATAGGCTTATTACATGTGGCATATAGGTCACCTGTGCAAAGTTTGAACCAAATCGGTCCAAGCGTTTTACGGACAGACGGACACCATCGACTCCCCTATAAAGCTTACATCGCTTTGCTCTGCCGCTTAATAATACACTCTCCTTCACCCATTAAGCTCGTAATATCACAATTCCCGTACGAGGGGCACTGGACAGTTGAGGCACACCCCATTCGATTGCGAGCAGGCGACCGAGCATGAGACGCCGAGTAAAAGTTTAGAAAGATGATATTGTTGCTTTCCTCATGCTATTGATAAAAAAGTGACGTAAAATCCAACATGTTGCGCACACCCCACATATGGGGTTTTCGGATATGTTCATCAAGAGGAAGATCCAAAGAAAATTTTAGGCTTTATTTTTATTTGTCATTTTGGTAGTAGATTGACTGGGCTAATAGATAACATCCCCTAATTAGGGGCAGCCGGTTAGTGAACCGACAGATTTTGTCTTTTTTGTTTACTGTATCTTAAATCCTCAGACAGACGGACGATATTTGCGCAATTTAATAATTAATTTTTGTTAAGTCGGTTAATGTTAATTATTAAATCAAGAATGAAAAACACTGTTTATATTATTATGGTTTATTAGTAATTTTTTTACTTTTTGTATGTAGAAGTTAATATTTTGTCAATTGATGACAAAAAGTTGAGGCAGTGTTGAATTTTTGAATGGTTAAAAAGTGTTTTATATTCTTTAATTAACGACAATAGACTATTATGGACTAAATGAAATTGATAAAAAAAGTTATTCTTTGTTAAATGATATGATATCTTACATAGTTAAAAAGAGTATAAAAAATTCTTTTAATCACACACAAATAAATGGGTCACACATTTAAAAAACCACAGCGGGTTTTTACCTTACTGTAGCTAAAGTACTGAATCATTTAATTTTTAAGCGAATGCCTTTAAAACAAAAGATACGGTAATTGCTGTTAAACGTCACTTGTTTTTACTAGTTTACGATCGTTTTATTTAATATTTAAATTAATTCTCAAAAAGCCTTATTCAAATGCACTAAAGCGTGATACGCTTAAAATTTAAGTAATTGTTATTAGAACTCACCATTTTCCTTATTTTATTGTCCTTTAATTAATAACAATGATAATTGAATGCCAGTTTTCCACATTTGGTTGCTTATGTAACGCTTCATAAGTTATAAGTAATTGAAAGGACTAATTTTCGAAACGTAATATCTTTGCATATACAGTGGTATTTATTAAGAAGCAGACATAGGGATTTGCATGTATTGTTTTTCACTGTCTACTTTTAAATGACAAAACCTTTGCCGAAGGGCGTCTAATTTTATGCAACCAAAACAAATGAAGATCTGGCTGTCACATTAATTAATTTGAATATTGTCGTTTTGGGTTCCGTATTTTTATTTTGGTTCGTGTACGATGTATTCAACTGAAGAAAAAATTGGTAATTGTCAATTGGTATATGCCGGACACAGATTAAGAAGCGTAAAAGATTTTTTTTCTATTAAGCCCGAGCAACAATATTCAAAATAATTAATATGACAGCCAGATGTTTATTTGTTTTAAAAAGTTATTTTAGATGCATAAAATTAGGAACCCTTCAGAGGAGATTTTGTCTTTTAAAAGTAGACATAGGGAACATACATAAATCCCTAGTTTACTTCTTAATAAATATCACTGTATAATCAAATCGAAATAGAAAACCAAAAGGTGTGGTACATCATTTTACTTCGTAGTTCAAATCGCCCATGCTACTGCTATTCTTCTGAAATTCATTCCTGAGTTTCAGTGCTACAGAAAAGTTTTCAATGTAGCGAAGAGTTTATGAGTATAAATTCATCAAACAGTTGCAGAGATTCGTTATGAATTTAAATTATTCAAATACGCACGAATACATACGATCAGATCCGCTGTATGCAACAGGCTCAATTGTTCAAGCCGCGCGCGGGCATATGAAGAATACCGGGGATATACAATTATTAATTGCGCCGTAAAAATTTCCCCGATGTAGAAATCGGCTTTGTTGGGGAAATTCCGTCGTAGAAATTACTTAATTACACGGAACGGTTTCGGTGATTTCAAATCCGTGTAGGTATCGCATTCGTATTTTCTCGCCCGTATTAAAATTGAAATAAGCCGAGAAAATGTTATTTTTCCGAATTTCGTCCAATTGCCATGTTAGTTAACAACAATATATGCAAAAAACCGTATAAAGTAGTTTTCTTTGGCGCCCTGTATCTCAGAAACCAGGCCGTTGCGAATTCATGTTCATATAAACTTTTTATCTTAAAATTTGTCAAAGATTTACCCTTTACAGTTTCTACAAGCACTTAATTAACACCCTGTATAATATGCTCTAAGCAAGTTTTCCTAATTTTATAAGCATCTAAAGTACTTATTTTTTTATGTAACATGTTATACCCCTAACTGTAATGGTTTCGCTGTTATACCCTTTTTTCTTCAAAATTTGACAGTTTTCCGGAATTTTTTTTAGATATACTAAATCGCGCAGGTGGCTAATTTTTTAACTGAGGCACAGGTTAAGACCTCTTCCACAATCACATATTTTGTTTAGGTACTTTATCGAAAAAATAAAATTTTCGATTGACCTTCGCTAAATGTCATATTTTTTAAAAATTTCAAATGGCACCACACATTCCATAAGAACATTTTAAAGAAAACCAAGTTGAAACGCCAATTTGTAAAAAAAGGTTTTTTCCGAACTCAAGTGTGCCATGATAAAACAAAAGATGTCCATCACAATTAACAGTAGGTAGTAAAGTTGTCGGCAGCAAGGGGCGTGGCGTCCATGGATGCGAGTGATGCGTCGCATCCCTTCAAAAATTGGCGGTATTTGTTTATTTATTTTTTATTTGTAGGTAATTAATATTTTTTAACCCTACCAGAAGCATACATTATTTATTTACTAATTACTAGTACGCCTCTGTCAAATTTAAATTATTTTATTTCGAGCCGTGCGAGCGAAGTTGCTGACTGACTAGGTTTGATGCGATGGTGTATGCCACATAAAGACAAACGTTCGAAGTCAACATGAATCAATGACCTCACATGGATCACTCTGCTGCTGCTAAATGCTCGTTTACGTGCACTGTGATGCGATTTCAGGACCGCATCTCGTTCTTGCAGTTTAAGCGTAATAAGCGCGTTGAGTTTGTTTTTGTATGCGATCGCGATGGCTGCTCCTGCTCCAATGAAATGTGACTGTGTCATTGAAAAGCTGTTACGTTCGTCATTTAATACTTGTTCGTTTACACAAAAATTACAAATAATTGAAAATGGACAACCGCGACCCACTTTAAATATAAACACGAAACTGAAATCGTGCGTTCGACATTTTAATGAAAACGTATATAAAAATGAACATTGGCTTTGTGGGTGTAAGGAACTAAATAAGCTTTTTTGCTGGTCTTGTTTATTGTTCTCTTCAGAGAAAAGTGTGTGGAATACATCGGGATATAATGATTTAAACAATATATATCGTTCCGGTAAGAGGCATACTAATTCGGAGAATCATATTTCCTGTGAAAAAAAGTTGTTATTGTTTGGAAAAAGTCAAAGAATTGAATTTGCTTTAAGTACTCAGTACAAACTAAGTATAGAAAAACATAATTAAATTGTTAAACAAAACAGACACATTGTGGGATCTCTTGTCAGGGTGACATGTCTGCTAGGTAAACTTGGCCTTCCATTTAGAAGTCATGATGAAAGCGACTCATCAAAAAATAAGGGAAATTTCGTAGAATTTATTAATGAAATGGCAAGAAATGATAACACGCTTAAAACGCATTTAGATAATTCTACTGTTTTTCGCGGTCTTTCCCCAGACATTCAGAATGATTTAATCCAATCAGTTGCCGAAGTAATGATCGAAAAAATTAAAACAGAGATCTCGAAAACTGATTTTGTAGCCCTAATTTTAGATGAAGCTTCTGATATCACTATGAAATCACAATTGTCAGCTACTTTCCGATATGTAACTGAGGATGGAAATGTTCAAGAAAGGTTTGTGCACTATACAGATGTCAGCTCTGATAGAAAAGCAGATTCTCTTTTGCAACACACTTTGCAAATTTTGAAGGACTTTGGTTGTGCTGACAAATTAGTGGCACAAACTTATGACGGTGCGGCTGTAATGGCAGGCGAACATAGTGGATTGCAGACGAGACTTCGAGAACATTGTAAAACCGCAACATTTATTCATTGTTATGCCCATAAACTGAACCTAGTTTTATCTCAGTCCGCTAGTTTCATTAAACCAGTTAAAATTTTCTTTACAAATCTTTTAAGTTTTTCCGTTTTTTTTGCCAAGTCGTCCAAACGAACACGCGCACTGGCTACTCATGTAAGAAAGAGAATTCCAACTGTCGCTCCTACAAGGTGGAACTTTCAAAGCCGAATAGTACAAACGGCGAAGGAACATAAGGAAGATTTGGAAGGACTTTTTCAAGCAATTGTGGAAGATCAAAATCAAGAATGGGATCGCGAAACGACCATTTGTGCTAGAGGCTTTTTAACTTTATTGCGAGATTTTGATTTTAATTTTTTCTTGGACGTGTTTTCTGCAATATTCCCACACTCTGAGAGCCTGTTTAAAATTTTACAATCAAAAATTTCAGATATCGCTTACTGCAATAAAAAGATCGACGATTTTAAATCACATATCCAGCGAATGAGAGAAGAGTTTAGTGATATTTGGGAGCGTATGGAGAGATTTACGTCGGACTATCGGCCACCAAACAAGAGAATGCGTTTGGATTCAATTCCCGAAGAAGATAAGAAAAGCACATACGCACGTTTGTTTTATGAAATTTTAGACGTTATTATTTTGAACATTACTCAACGGTTTAGCGAAATTTCTAAGTTGAAATTTTTACGTCTTCTGGATTCCACACTATTTGATTCATTTGTAAAGAACTTCCCTGACGAACTTTTTTCTTCTTTATTAACCACGTACGGAAAATTCTTTGACGCAGATCGTTTAAAAAGTGAACTTTCAGTGATTTATAGAGATCCCGATATGAAAAAGAGCAGTGTGTTTGAGCTACATCAATACATTACGTCTTTTGGATTATCTTCTGTCTTCCCAGAGTCATCTAAATTGTGCAAATTAATTTTAACTATTCCTGCCACAAGCAGTTCCGCAGAGAGATCGTTTTCTTGTTTAAAAAGAATAAAGACTTATCTGCGAAATTCTCAAAACCAACAAAGACTCTCCGCTTTAGCATTAATGAGCATTGAGGGTGCACTGTTAGAAGATATGAGATCGGTACCCACATTTGAAGAAACAGTTATAGACGTTTTCGCTAAACAAAACAAAAATCGACGAATTGATCTTCATTTTAAAAATTAGTACATACTTACCTTTTTTTATTGTTACTGCTTTTTCGTATTAAATTTAATAAAAAAAAATTGTACGTTTGTTTATCAATTCTGGACCTTATAATGCTTTAAAATGCGATTTTCAAGGGCAAATTTTGCAAAAACCCCCCTTCGATTTGGCGGTTGTCCACCCCCCCCCTCACTATCCCTCGCGTCATCACTCAACGCTCCGCCCTTGCTTACAAACCACAGTTACTTGGCACTGTCCAGTTACTATTTATACAAAGAATATAACAAAGTGACTTATTTTATATGCGTTGAAATCAATTGTTTTATACAGAGCTAAACGAAAACGATTTTGAACTTTTTAATCCATGGGAGAATTTCAAGTGATTGCACCCCTGTGCCAAATACACTGTTATTACAGTACAATTTCAAGACAGTAGTTGGCACCACTTATTATTAATTAATAAAGATCAGTTTTGAGGTTAAAGTAGGAAAAAATAGGTCCAAAAATCAGCTTTTCTTAATGTAAATAAATTTAGGGATGGCAAAAGGTTCATTACTAAAAAGCAATTCACATGCGTCAGGCTTCTTTATGAATATAAAAAAATCACCTTCTTGAGAACGTAATCAATTCGAAGCTCACTGCATTTCAACTTTGCGCATCTATTAGTTCTACTACAAATACGAGGCTAAAATTCTACTGTGTCTAGAAGACATAGGTGCCAAGCATTGGTATATTCAACATAAATCAGTTCGCAGACGTCCCCTAACGCTTATTAAAATTAATGATGACAACGTTGTGCCAATAAACTGGCATGAGTGTCGATAAACTGTCCTCTTTACCCTATCATGCGGCTTCTATATGCAGGCTTAAAAAATTTGTGTACATATCTAGCGATAATATTGAACGCAGAATAACTGGGCCTGTATATAATAAAAACTGCCGATATTCTGTTGCTTTAAATCGATTTACTTCAGATAAAGATCGCGGTTTACGAGCAAATTCACAAGGTGAAAATGGTCTTTGTTTAATTAATGCTTGTGATATATTTTGAACTTTTATGTGCTGCAATTTTGTCGGTGGTTTTCCAGTAACCCACATTAACAAAAGCTTTCTCATCACACCTAAACAAATGAGGTGCATATAATCCAATGGAAAAGCAGCTATCATATTAAGACCAGGAATAGATTCTAGTATTGTAGTTCCAGTGTGATGATCTTCATCTACCTTGTTTCGGAATTCTTGGTTTGTTCGATGTTTAAGGTTTGCTATTTGGGGAAAACACACACGATTTTCTACAAAATTACCTACTGTGTAACATTTTGTACAGGAACTGTAACCAGCGTGACCTTTCGTCTTTTTTATAAACGCCTTTGCTGGAGCGTCACAAACAAATGCTGCTATTTCAAATGGAAATATTTTACCATTAAAAGTAAAGCCGTTGTTTGTTAAGAAAATTGCTTCTTGAACAAAATCATTTAAAAATATATTTGGTTCTTTAGGTTTGTCAAAACCTTGATAAACACCAATTAATTCGACATTGTTAACATTACCTTGTAAATTACACAAAATTAGCCAGAGCTGATTGCTGCTACTTTTTTCAATAGGCAGACCATCGATATTAACACATATCTTAATTCCACTGGCAGGTGTTAAATGGGCTAAATTATTCTTAGCCAACAATTTTGTAACTGCTTTAATAATTCCAATGTGGAAGTACTGACCTGGTTCAATTGTTTTGATATGCAACTGTCGAGGTGTGTCAAGTAATGTTCGTGCATTGCTTGGGAGTGTAGCATCAAAAAACATTTTTAGCAATAGAAGTAATGCATTTAATGCGACATGAGGTATATTAAATTTAATGGCCCAGCAAGCTAAATGAGACTGAAAATTTTCACTGGCATGATCATTAGTAGTGGTAGGGAAATTAAACGTGGATGACTCTGGAGACGAATCACGAACGTTATTATTAGATTCAGTATCGGAACTAAATAACGAAAATTCATCACTATGCACTTCCACGTCAATACTGTCATCAACTACAGAATGTAAGGGTTCTACATTGCTAATATCATCAATAATAGCTAACGAATTGGGTACATCAAGATCGGAATTGGGTATATTATCAGCCACTTGCGGGACATCATAAGAAATCATTTCGTCGGCCAGATCGGTTCGTGTTCTCGCAATTCGATACTGGCTCCGAGATGCACAAACAGAATTTCTCTTTCTTTTAGAAGCCATTATAAAAAGAAATCGTACTTATGCACTTACCGCCAACAAATTTGAGGTTACGTACAAAATACACCGCAAAAATACTTCATACAGCGCCTGCAACAAATTATTTAAATTAATTCCTCATTTTAACTACTTGCAATTATTATTTATTTACCTGTACAAGTGTTGTAATCCTGAAAATTACCGCCAACAAATTTGAGGTTACGTACAAAATAAACCGCGAAAATACTTCATACAACGCCTACAACAAATTATTTAAATTCATTCCTCATTTTAACTACTTGCAATTATTATTTGTTTACCTGTAAAAGTGTAATCCATAAAATAACTACACTACAACAAAACAAAGCATTAAACAAATGGAACCTGTAAAACACGTAACGGGACGAGTGTCGAGTTCTACCAACTACGAAAAAATTAGCCGCCGCTACCAACAGTGTAAACTGTAAACGCGAATAGTAACACAAACCGAAGATATGGCGTATACTGAACGAACGGTGTTGTACCAACATAGGACGTCTTAACACGTACGTACGATGGATGTACAAATTTGGTAATAAGTCTTACGCAACAACAATAACTCATAAATGGACGTACACGGTACATACGTGTACCTTACGTACATGGAACGTGTGCTGCTGTACGTATGATGGAAGTACATATTTAGTCCAAGGACGTATGTACTAATAACAGCTTAATAACGGACGTACATAAAACGAACTGTGCTATCTGGGTATATATATATATATATAATATATATATATATATACACATACATACATACAACATACATACATACATACCACACACACTACAAAAGGTACTTTATCACCTCCGGAGCGATGCACGCTGGTATCTTATCATATTAAATAATATAATATATATATATATATACTGGATTAAAATATGCTTTCCGTCCAATGCTTGAATGCTTGAATTCCACACAACATCCACGAATTTCTTTAAGACGACCTGAAGCTACGAGTCTCAACCGGGTAATGGCATCTAATCGAAAGAATGTGAATCTATTTTACGATAATCTGGAACTAGCCTTCGAAAAATATAAATTTCTCGCAAGGCGCATTTTTGACGTGGATGAGACTGGAATTAGTGGAGTTCATAAACCTCATCGAATTTTGGCGGAAAAGGGAAGAAAACAAGTGGGCGCGATAACTAGTGGTGAAAGAAATCAGACTACCACTGTTGTGTGTTGCATGAGTGCAGCCGAAGATTTCGTGCCTCCTATGTTTATTTTTAAACGCGAGCCCATGAACAATGCGCTGGAAAAGAATGGACCAACAGATGCAATCTACCGCTCCTCGAAATCAGGGTGGATAACAGAAGAGCTATTCGTGGAGTGGTTAAAGCATTTTGCTCAATGTGTAAATGCTTCTACGGAAAATCGTGTTTTAGTTGATTTAGAATACAACAAAATTGAGGTGACTGACATCGCAGAGCTAAGGCGTACAATCGCATCACTTCCAAAGAAAAAGGCGTGAACGGATTTAAAAATACGGGCATCTTTCCGTTAGACAGAAACGTGTTTGGGGAAGAAGAGTTTATTGAAATTCCAGAAGAACCAAATTCCGTTATTCGGGCAGAAACCAACGAACTATGCGAGCCTCCCCAAGAAACAGTTTCTTTAGATCCAAGGCCCGGAACTAGTGGAGATCCAGATCCGTCGTATGTATCAAGCGGAAGCCATGATGAAGTAGATGTGCGTCAAGTCACCGGCGGCGTCGCCAGTAAAAACCTTTAACAAGAAGCCACTTGCTCATTCAACGAGAAAAAGGCGCCAAAGAAGAACATCTTCCAGTGATAGTTTTTCATCAGCAATAACAGAAGTCTCCGACGATAACGCAACCAATGATAAAGATAAGACCATTCAGTTAAAGAGCAGATCCTTTGAAAACTTTCAACCGACACCCCGATTAACAGAAAAACCACACTCTAAGAGAAGAAAACAAAAATCTCAAATACTAACTTCCACTCCGCTGCAGGCATCTTTGGAGGAGAATGAAATAAATAGGGAAAAGAAGAAAGTTGACGAAGCTACAAGAAATTTATTTTAAAGGGGAAAATCCGTAGGACTCAAAACAACAGCAGCTAAAACACCATTAGAAAAGAAGTCCGCGCCGAAAAGGCAACAAGGAGGAGGTAAGGTAAAGGACATATGTCCAATATGCGTGGAAACTGACACAGCAGATGAACTGTGGTGGCGGTGTAGATCATGGGGCACTTAGCTTCATGCTGGCTTGGCAATTAAACATTTCCGTTACTCCCTGGAAGGTCGAGAGTTTGTATTATATACCGATCACCGCCCACTCATCTACGCTTTCCAACGGCGCTTGGATAAAGCTAATGAACGACAACGACGCCAATTAGACTTCATTGGTCAGTACACAACAGATTTCCCTTATGTTCCCGGAACTGACAACATCGTTGCTGATGCTTGTTCCCGTATCAACCAAGTTGATGGACAACCAATCCAACTCACCGCTGAGTTGCTTGCAAACGCACAAGCTGCCGATCGTATATTGGCAGACGAAAAAGAATCATCTCCAGGGTTGAGCTGGACAGAAATCTTATTACCGGATGGCTCCAACCTCTTATGTGACAACTCAACTGGGGTAAACCGCCCATATGTACCTCCACAATACCGTCATCAGTTATTCCTGTCACTCCACAACTTGTCCCATCCTGGTAGACGTGGTTCTGTTGATTTGGTCCGCCGACGATACATATGGAAATCACTCAAGGCAGATTGTTCCCTATGGTCGAAAAGCTGTGTACCATGTCAGAGATCAA